ATTACCTCTGTCCGCAATGCACTGTCCCCAGATGTCCATGTGGCAGAGGACCTTGCTTCCTTTAGGCCCTTGCTCACTATGTCACTTTTAAAATGAGGCCTTTTCTGGCCAATTTATCTAAAATTGTAAACGTGTACCTCCTTTACCAGTGTTTCCAACCCCTATTTCCTTTATTTTCCCCTTAGCACTTATTGCTAACATACATGTTTAACTACATGTTAATACATAAATAATGTTTTATTTATCATACTTATAGTCTGTCTCCTTACATAGAATATAAAGGCTGTGAGGACAAGGACTTTGGTGTTTGGTTCATGGCTCTGTCCCCAGCATGAAGTTCAGTGATTGACATAAGCACTAAATTAATGTTTATGGAATAAATGAATGAATAAATGTTCATGATAGCCTCTTGAGTGATTGCGAAAGATTGGAAACACCTTGAATTCCAACAAAAAGGAATAATTACATAATTATGGTGTAATCAAAACATGTAGTTTTTAAGAGGCCCATACCTATGGGCATAAAAAAGACATCCATTTTATATTCAATGGGAAAAAGAAGTTATAGACGTTATATGATCTTATTTTTTTTAACACAAACCACACACATACTTGTATCAGAATAGGAAAAGTATTGAAGGAAATATTAATCAATTTGCCTTGGGAGAATGAGATGGGTGATTAAGAGGGATTTGGTTTGAATCATGCATTACCTTTGAAATAGAAACAGAAAAACAGACCAAACAAATGTTATTTAAAACCAAAATGTGGGCTGGGCGCTATGGCTGACACCTATAATCCCAGCACTTTGGGAGGTCGAGGTGGGTGGATCATGAGGTCAGGAGTTCAAGACCAGCCTGGCTAAGATGGTAAAACCCTGTCTCTAATAAAAATACAAAAAATTAGCAGGGCGTTGTGGTGGGCACCTGTTAATCCCAGTTACTCGGGAGGCTGAGAAGAGAATTGCTTGAACCTGGGAGGCGGTTGCAGCGATCCAAGATCGTGCCACTGCACTCCAGCAAGACTGCGTCTCAAAAAAAAAAAAAAAAAAGTGATTCTATTCCAAACCTACAAGCATAGATTAAAATGTAAAATATTAACAGTATTAGAATATTGCTGTAATAATGGGGTAGGCAGGAGATAGCAAAAAAATCTCAAAGGATCCCCCAGGGATTAAAACTAGTTATCTCAACATCTCTACCATCCTTTATCTCAAGCCTAAGAGATGTGGATTTGGGGAGAAAATTTTGTTCTATAGAATTAACATCAGAGAAGAAGACCCATGACAAGACTTTACAAAATTATGGATATATTAATTTGTCATTGTTTTCAAGTTGCTTCAGTGAATTATCTAAGAGGATTGCCTGGAACAGTTTTTCCTAGCTGAGTCAGTTCAGCTAAGGTCCTGGAAGAGCAATAATTACAATTAGAACATGGAGTCTAAAAATAAGAGGTGAAATGGATGGGACTGACCCTCTATGCAAATATTGAACACTTCAGGTTTCTAATTAAAGATGTCATTCATTACAGCCTACCCAGGGAAAAAGTTGCAGGTGAGCTCATAAGAAAGGAGCTAAGCTTATACTTTTCTTTAGATCTAAATTTGAGCAAGTGTAAGATTTGTCTGGTTCCTAGTGAAAATGTAATGCCACTTCTCAATCAACATGGGGTAGTTGTTACATTTTCGCTTTTTAGAACAAAGTATGTGTATAGAAGTGATGATAGGTGCATCCTTGTTAATGTATGGTTTCTTTCATTTTTTACAAGCTGCACTTGATTTCCTAAGACAGAACCACATTTTAAAATTTCCACATAAATTTTTGCAGTCTTATTTATTTGTATTATATTTTCTTCACATTCACCTATGAATGTTTCCTAACTTAGAAGCCCCTAGGGATCTGTGTTTAAATATACTGCCTTCAGTGACCCGAAAAGACCATGGTGCAGAAAAAGTCTAATCTTTTTATTGCTGTTTATTTGTTTATGGTAGCTTAAGACCAAAAAGAAATTTGAGGGTGGAGCAGATTGGCACTCACAGTCATAGCTGACTACTTTTCTTTCTTTCTTTTTTTTTTTTTTTTTGAGATGGAGTCTTACTCTGTAACCCAGGCTGGAGTACAACGGAGCAGTCTTGGCTCACTGCAACCCCTGTCTCCCAGGTTCAAGCAATTCTCCTGCCTCAACTTCCCAAGTACCTGAGACTACAGGTGCCTGCCATCACACCCAGCTAATTTTTGTATTTTTAGTAGAGACAGGGTTTCACCATATTGGCCAAGCTGGTCTTGAACTTCTGACCTCATGATCCACCTGCCTTGGCCTCCCAAAGTGCTAGGATTACAGGTGTGAGCCACCATGCCTGGCCAACTAACTACTATTAAAGAAAAATTATTCAATGATATTTTTTGAAGCACAGTAAAGAAGAATTTATTCAGAACCATCAAGATAGGTATAGGGATGACTGTAATGGTGTCTTACAGTAGAGGAGAGAGATTGGACTTAACTTCCAATACAGCCTGGGCAAGTGGGAATTTATAACCAAGGAGCAGGGTGGGGGTCCGTGGTTGGAAAATTGCTAGGAGGAAATATCAAGGCTAAAGGGGATTCTGGCTAAATCAACCCAGCAGGATTCTTGCTGAAGACAGGCTAGCTTGTTCAGACATCACCTGGGGGAGAGTGGAAGACAAAGAACCTGATCAGATATCAAGGATGATCAGATTATTGAATATGGGGGTTCTGGTGAAACTGACTTAGCAGAGTTCTTTTGCTAAAACTGGATTTTACAAGGAATTGCACAGATGGGCCTA